TGGCCATTTTGACACAAAAATCGCTATTGGACAGAAATTTTAAATGGCAAAGTTCAAGTCAGATGTCTAGCACATACTGTACAAATCAATAACATTTAGATACCAGATTATCTCATTTATTTCTTTCTTCACAAGTTTTCCAAAACTGGGTTAAAAATCTCCATATTCACACCAATGAAAACTACTAGTACCTTCTTCGTCCAGCCCTGCCAGAATGTTGTATGTGTAGTAAGGGAAGAACCGTCGGTAGTACAGCACTGTGGACAGCATGGCGGCGATGGACTTACAGCTCATGGTCTTGTTGTGTTCATGCTTGTAGTTCTGTGGCAATAGAAAAACAGAATCTCCTATCACTCACTGATGTGTGCATTATGATACTAAAGGTACGTGTATCACAATACATGTACTAGTATCAGGACAGCAGTTAAGAAAAAAAAATTTAACAGCTCTCGGTGGCACACAGTTAGACAAATTAGCCGTTAAGCAGTTAAGAAGCTATCTACAAAATTAATGAAGTGATGACAATAGTAAGGATTTAATGGAGTTGTTGTCACTTGAAGCTGTTCTATCTAAACTTCAGCTTAATCTAGGAGATTTGTGATTTGTCTGACCTTTAACCTTGCATCCAGCATCTTTGTCAGGGTCAGGACATCGCCATGGAAACCACAGCACCCCAGTACAGTCCTGTCTGTGCTGTAAGGTGAAAAGATAAAAAACAAAATAGGGTAACTCTGTAAAATAAGGAATTCCTAGCAATAAAGCTTAAATCTTTGGTACTTTTGGTAATACTGTTCCAATTGCTGTGCCGATGATTAAAAAATGTTTCAACATGTTTAATCATTTTGTGATGTGACTTAAATACAGCATGCACAAAAACTTGAGACTTGTAAATCATATGAGCAGTTTGAGGTTTCTTGCTTTTCTCTATATCTTTCAATTATTGATAGCAATTTGTGAGCCAGTAGGGAGAGGAAAGAATTTCCGATCTAAATGAGAAATTGGAAAACAGCTGTTGGAAGATAATTAAACAAAATGGTGGCATGGAAGCACAAATAGGAGTACTAAGGATGGATAAATAACTAATAATTTGACAGATGTATTCACTAATGTCTTACAGTTTGTATCTCTTTGGAGAATCGCGACTGAGGATGGAGAAATATTCGCTCAGTCTGGCATCACACGCTAAGACAGCGTAGTCCTCTCCTGCAATGGCCAGCACTGTCCTGTATCATGTGTATGGAACATTGCGAACTGTCAGTGTGTGTTCAAAATAAACTGTAACGTTACTTATATAAACTGTCACAAAGTATTAAATCAGTGATATCATATCATATCATATGGCCTACTTCTCTGCAGTAAAATTATGTAATATAGAAGATGGCATTGGAAGATGGATATGGGAACCTAATACAGAAAGATACACTGAATATTTCAGATACAAATGTAATATTGAGAAGACACGAATTAAACGTAAAATTCAGAAACTGGACAAAGTAAGTTGTGGTTGAAAAGAGCCATGTCATTTTGCCCCCCTCCCCACTTCATTTTTTTTGTCTCGCCCAAAACTCACCCTCCGTTCCATGAATACGGGCTGAAGTACTGTTGTCTGGGTCCGTGTGCGCCGTAGGGCTCGGGTCCCTGCATGTGAACCCCTGGCTGCGCCATCATCCCTTCCCTAACACTCGTAGTCTGCAAATTCGTTGGAGCAAAAATCGGTATCTTCTCTGGTTTTCACAAGGTTTCTCTTTCCCATGAAGCTCTGATCTCAAATCTCGTACAGATAGTCACGTGATGTATATCTACTTTACCACTTTTAAGACTTTAACAACTATGTAAGATAAATTATGACAACTTTTTCAAATAAGTATATAAATATGTGTCATGCTGTGGTTTGAGGGCTGAATTGCCCCTCAAAAATTAAAGTTTTTGATAATTTTTGATTTTTAGTATCGCGAGATTTCTCGAGATGTCGTAGCAGCGCGGAAAAGAAAGAAACCAAGATGGTGGGTTCAGCGTGTTTGTGGTGTGATGTGTGCGTTTTCTTTTGCCTTTTCACTCGTATTGAGCTTATGACAATACATTTGTGATCTCTTTCAGCTGTTCTACTCATTCTTCAAGTCCCTAGTTGGCAAAGACGTAGTCGTGGAGCTGAAAAACGACTTGAGGTGAGTAAATAGCATGGGGCTTCAAGGGGGGGGGGGTATCATCACCTGCCTCCTGGCTTTGCATAATTTCAACAACTAATATATGAATATTTGACACATTATATTTGGCTGCTTTTATGAATGGCTTTTATAAACAAGCTCTACATTTTGTTGGATCTTCTGTGCATGGTCTATGACAACTGAATATAGCTAGACATAATAATTTGACCATCATATTAATATTCAACTCCCTTTATTATTATTTTTCAGCATCTGTGGAACATTACACTCAGTTGATCAGGTAAAGACATTTATTCCTGACAGTAATGGAACAAGTTGGCAATCAACATACATGTATTCTTAAATCCATTTGTGCATTATTACATTTTTTTTATCTTTCTCAACTAATGACTATAAATACAAGTAAATAATAATTTAAATATATGATGGTATTTATACATTCCAGTTTTTGAACATCAAGTTGACAGACATCAGTGTTACAGATCCTGAGAAGTACCCACACATGGTGAGTACATTATTTTAAATCTAAAAGTGTTACAAGATGAACATAAAGCTTCAGGAGATTTCATTGAGTAAAGTAGCAGCAAAATTGTTTATCTCAATCAGGTCAAATTTAAGTTCCTTGGCTATCTATATTGCATAACTTAACCGTTTTTTTCTCTTTTCACAGCTGTCAGTGAAGAACTGTTTTATCCGTGGCTCGGTGGTTCGGTATGTGCAGCTCCCAGCAGATGAGTGTGACACACAGCTCCTACAGGACGCGGCCAGGAAAGAAGCAGCGCAAAACAAACAATGATGACAGACATACATAAACAGAACTATGTCAGCTTTACTATATCAAAGACTCACTCTTTGCAAACCTTTTCTTTTGGCAAATTTTTAATGAAAAAAAAAGACCATGGTAGCAGCCCTTTGTTCTTATAACCTTTAAGTTTTCTAGCCAGAAGAAGATTTTGTTTTAAATCCTTTCCAAAGATTATGAATCAGGGATGGAGCCTGGTTTGACGGTTGTAAGAAAGAGATGTCAGTTCTAACATGGTCTAATTGCTGTATATATCAGCTATTTTTGTCGGACATAAGAGATGCAAAGATCAGTTTTGTATTTGCAAAATGATTTGAGATACTGGAAATGGTACCTGTAAGGTAATCTTGGTACAAGAAGAGTCAAGTTTTCATGTTGTACATTATTCAGATAGCTAAGACTAAGAGGCTTCTTTTGTTACATTGTTCTTTGAGGAAGATCAGTTTATATGAACATAAATTACCATAGACTGTAAGTCATATGTTATGTGTTATCTTAGTTGTTAGCATTGGTTATTTTCTGTTAGACTGCCCCAAAGGATATAGTACAGATGTACTATGATGCTGTATTAGTGTAATGAAAGGTTACTGGACTGAGACAGAAATAAACATCAATCATGTGTAACTTATCACTGGAAACCTGGTTTCGTGTTTTCTTCACTTGTGCTTCTCAGTTCAATGCTTTGATCGTATGTACAGGTTCCATACCATAGTTTCCCAGGAAATACTAAAGTACAAAATAAAACTTCCAATTTCAGTGTGATATCTTTAACCTGCCAACATTTTGATCTATAGTTTCGCAGAAATATTTTGTGAAATCTAAAAGGTAAATACTATTCAGAAAATACATGCACATTTGTTTGAAGTGCAACTTTGTACCCAAGTCAGGCTTATGGGTACTTACTGTCATGTTGAATTGAATGCATCTAAAAAGTAGGTAAATTGTAGGTTACTAGAACCTCCCTAGTTACTAGTACATGTATCATGCATCCTTGATTAGAAAAGAAAGTTTGACTATGGTCCTTTCATTGAACAAACTTTCTCTTATCCGTCCCCTGAGAAACCAAATGGAATGGCCCAAATACCTGGCGTACCCGGAAGTGCATCAACATGGCCGCCATAGGAACGTGGACGTTCGCTGTCCCCGCAATCAAGGTGGTAAAACGCAAACTCGGAGACGGTTCGTCCTGTCTAGACGCACTAGAAGCCGGTATAAATGCCGTGGAAGACGACGGTTCCACGGGAAGGTACCTTGTGGGCCGCGGGGGGTACCCAAACGCCAAGGGAGTGCACGAGTTTGACGCTGCGGTGATGGTTGGGGAGGGGTGCCGCTTCGGAGGCGTGGTAGGGTTACGGGGCGTGGCTACACCTGTTAGCGTTGCGAGAAGGGTGATGGAGACGTCTTCCCACAGTATGTTAGTCGGACCGGGAGCAACAGCATTCGCCGTGGAGCAAGGCTTCCCTCTAGAAACTTCAGACACGCTACATACAGAAGAAAGCTTGAGCGCATTTCGGAAGTTTCTCAAACAGCAAGCCGAGGAAGCGAGAGCTAGGGCGGAAGAAAAAATGCAGCAAGAGAAAGAGGAGATGAAAACCGAGGTGTCGCCAGGAGGGCATGATACATTGGGCCTTATCGTACTCGACAAGAACTCCCGTATCGCTGCAGGTGTGTCGACCAGCGGGGCGCCGTTCAAGGCAGAAGGCCGTGTCGGGGACTCCCCCCTCCCGGGCTGCGGGCTCTACGCAGACGACGCCGGAGGAGCGGCCGTGGCTACGGGAGACGGAGACAACATCATGAAGTTCTGCCCGTCTTTTCAGGTGGTCCAGATGATGAGGCAGGGGTTCGATCCCCAGACGGCTTGCAGAGAGGTCGTCAAACAGATTCAGCAGAAAGTCGGCGCAGACATGTTTGAGATGGCTCTGGTAGCGATGGACATGAAAGGCTGTAGGGGCAGTGGAAGTACAGTGGTACAATGGGAGGATGTCTGTGAGGGGAAGAAATACGATGGGTTCCCCTATGTAACTTGGACAGGAGAGAGTTCAGAGCCGGCCATATGTGTAGAACCAGCAACTAGGTTGAGCTAGGGGTCTAGGACTAAAAATTATTGGCTCTTTATCCAGAGGGCAGGGGTTCAAACTCTAATCCTTCAGGCACAATGTCTGTACATAAAAAGAACCCAACACACTTCTGGAGAAGAGTTAGGTGATCCAGTGCAGTGCTTGGTATTAAAAGCGAGCCATTCCGAAGCCACCTAACTGCACCTTCAAACAATGATGCTATTGATAATGCATTACACTTGAGTTCGGCTGATGAAAGAAGCGGTGTGCAAACGGTATGTAACACTACATGTAAAGAAAAAGCACAAAAAAATTGAAGTATTGGGACTTCCTTTTATTCGGTGAAAATCTACAATGCTCTTGGCAGTACATATCAAAATGTAGTTTTCATCTGTTGTGTGCGACTTGACTTTTGCAACAAATGCCCTTTCAGCCTTTTTTTTTCAGGTTTGACACAAATTAAACTTCATTTGGCCTTTCTGAGATGACATTACCCTGTATTGTAAGAAACTACAATATAACTTGCCCTTGGATCAATTCAATTGCCAATAAACTGTTGGTTTTGATTGATTTAAATTGGGAAGGAATGAAAAAGTTGTGAGGAATGCTGTTTACACTGGTACAAACTTGTCTTTTGTTTATGATATGTGATATCAAGCATGTTCTGCTTGCTCAATCTACAAATGTATTACATGTACCTGGGTCTTTGTATTCAGCTTGAATCACTATTTGCGAGAATAATCTGTTATTCTTGAGAATACTAAACCATAAACAATAATCTGTTATTCTTGAGAATACAATGTACTACACCATTTTCCTCCATTGTTTCTACAATGCATTAGTTGCCTGTTCATGTCACATACCTAAAGAAATGTAAACAAACATACCATACAATGTACAGGTATTTACCTCAGGCACATTACAGTGTGACAATGCAACAATCTGCTGAATACTTATCTTTTGTTTTACAATGTGTATACCTCAACAGTAACAACACGTCCGAACAATGATATGAGTTGTTTAGATTCTGAAAAATACTTCTTGGCATCACTTGTGAAAATAACTCTATCATAGTGGTCCCTTTCACATAATAAGCACACTTTACATACATTGAGAATGTCCTACACTATATACATTGTATATTGCAGCCTTTGGCTTTCAACCTTCTCCCTGCCTAATCCTGTAACCAATACAAGTGATGCCAAAAGTCCACTTCAGCAGGGAGACAGTTAACATGTACGGCAACTACTCACAAAAAAATCAGAGCTGTATACCATAAATCCTATGAAGTATGAGAACATTACAAAATTTTTGCACCATCTCATCATTGTGCAGAGGAAAAGCTTGACATGGCAGCTCAGCTCAGACATGTAAATCTGGCACTTAAAGTTGATAATTGAGAGATCATTGCATCAACTTCCAAGTCTTGCAAAGGAAGGCATGCATAGAAAGGAAAGTTTGTGCATGGCTTTTTCAGTAAAGGTATACAAGATATCGCCCATGCTTTCTTGTAATAAACAATAGTGCAGGGATAGGTATATATCATGAAGAAAGTTTGGTGATTGCAGAGGTGATGATGATTTGCAGAATCATAGCAGTTGGTGCAAAAGGCAAATGCAAGACTAGAATACTGCTCCTAGGTCTCTAAACAAAATATATACATCTATATACTCTATTTGTAATAGAGAAGTCTTGGACAATGCTATTGCCACCTACATGTACACTTTAACATCTATTCTCTCATATGGCTCAGTACCCATTTATTGAACGGCTCTTCTTACTAACAATGTCAAAGTATTAATTCAACGGCTCTTACTCTTACAACAATCTTAGCTTCATTGCATCTCTAAACATAATAACATACCAGTAGTATCCAAAAGTAACCCTTGTACAAAATTACTCCTTTACAAAAATTCACCTGGCAAAACTCCTATCAAAACTAATCATCACTCTGTAACAATACTTTTAAAGGCATCGTTGGACATTCAAAGGTGAAAAAATACAATTTGGTCAACATCAGATATGCCGAAAGTACCATGAATATTATAAAGTTCCTATGCCCCTATTGTATTTTGCACTGCTTCAGGAATTACCGTACTACTGGAATCGCTTGTAGTGGCTTCCATCTAATTTCTTGCCGCAATTATGCTGACTACATATACAAATGTACCATTTTTTCTTCTCAATTTTCAATTGGAAGTCCACTGACTCTAAAAAAGGCATGATTATAATGACAAGTCTTGGGGCACGCTACTCAATGCAAAAATACTACTGCTACAGTACATGTATTTGTGGTTCACAGAGCCACGCAACGTCATGCATCTTTTTCTTCATTGTTGGTGGGTTCAACTCTGCTATTCTGCTCCCACACTTTGTCCATGGCATCTTTCCCAGCGATGTCATCTGCAGTTAGCTCAAGCAGCTCTTCTGTGTTGGCGATTCTGCGGACTGTCTCTCCTTTGGCTGCTAGAATTTCTTCAATGTTTCTATGGTGGAAAGACAAAAGGAGAACTTCAATAGGGTTCTTGTAGAAATTCATCTTTTGCCAGTCCATAACCACTTCATGAAGGCTGAAAAAGTTGCACAAAGGGACATGGTCATTAGGCAAAAGTATACTTAGTACAAAAAAAGTAGAGGGTTGCCCTTTGGCTTAGGCATGGTATTAGAGGGCATAGCCCATCCCTAGGCTATTTCTCTCTTTCCACCACCTTTTACCTAACCAACCAAAGTCTGATGCATTGTGTGTGGAATGAGGACAGTCATAAAGTGCCTTTAACAAAATAAAAAGCTTTTTAGTTTGATAGAAAAATCTAAGCTTTGTATGTCTTTGGTTGGCCAAGGCAAAGTAAATGTTAGTACATGTACACGAAATGACCAGTCCCTTTGTGCCTTTTTTTCATCCTTTGAATGATTTTTGGATGGCCCAAGTAGACAGGGAAATATGGCTGACAACCACATGCAGGCCCCTATATATGGAGAAAAGGGTAGTTAAGGATATGAAAAAGTGGTGGTTCAGCAACAATTATGTCTTGAATAAGGTCTGTAAAAAATGTTGTACAGTCATGAAACATGAACCAACAAGAAGACAACACTTCAAAACCAACTCATTCACAATTCAGCACTGTCATTTGCATGATACAAACATCTTCACCTAAACTGATGACAATCATTTTTAATACCAAATCTGCAGACTTGGGAATTGCGAGATATTTTGAGTTCCTTATTTATTTGGTAACCACTTTGAAAACCACACCAAGAAACACAACAATCAACTTCTTAGTGGAAGAACCACTACACTACATCTGTGAAGTAACTGGCTTCTTCAAGTAGTCCCCAATCTTTTAATTCAAGGTCAAAAATTTCATCTGTTTTGGCAAATTGGCATTAAATCTTGTCTAGCAAGAAAACCATCAAATCTGGAAAAAAACTCAATGTTTGCAGCATAATTGCAGGTTTTAAGACAGACTACCTGTCCAAAAGTCAATGTGTCACAGATATAAAATATTTACCGATTAACACTCCAAAATTGTGGGGTTACTTCCAGAAGATGCCAGTAGAATATTATGATCAGTGATCAACAAATCTGCAAGAAACTCCGGGCTGTCCCCAGCACCTGTTCAACAGTCTATCTGATGGGTAATATTTGAAGTTGGACACGTTCTTACCCACACAAACCTTTGCAAATAGTTTGGTAAATCAACTGGGTATGAAGGTTCTTCATATTATTAGCCAATAATTAATACCTGCCAATGTTTTGATAGTCTTTTTTCTACCTTACAACATTACAATGATGTGGCCATAGACAGGGAAGAGGACACTAAATATTAGTGATGGATTTTGAAGGCTTGAGTAGATATGAAAATCTATTCCAGTCATGAACATTAATGAGAAGGAATACAAATTACAGTCACATTTGGGACTGTTACCTACTCACTGCAGTGCCACCTAGCGGCGGGAACTAGAACCTGTCATTGCTGCACTGATAATTAATTATAAAGTGATTAGGTACAGGTACAAAGAACCTCAATACCCACTGAGCAAAACATTATTAAAAATGGGCTATGTTTGTATAAGAATGCTAGTCTGCAAATTAAACCCATCTGCTGAAGTTGAACATTATGACAGTGCTCTGGGGCCAGCCCTGACCCTGAGTGATTGTAATCCACGGTCAGCCCTACAGAATGCACGTTAGGACAGAAACAAAACCACCGCTACCCAGCGTGTTGGTGGTAAGGATCTCCAGCGTCCCCTCATCGAGGCTGGACTTCAGCACCTGGTCTTCACGACCTGCGAGTACTGCTGCCACATTCCTATCGTGCAGAAAAAAGGGGGGAGACCAGAAAAGGCTGGTTAGTTCTTCTGAAATCATGTGTTGAACATAAGAACATTCATATTGTAGGAACCAAACATATCAGCAATACGTAACAGTCTGTACAACACACAATGCTACTAATTGACCTGTTGGCCCCTTTTGAACTTTGGCACAGTCCAGCTTTCTGCCAATTACAGACCAAATAATATGCTCCCACATTTGGATTGTAAATTGACAACCTCTCCAACAGGATTGCAAACACTGATCTTCTTCTCCTTCCAATGTTTGAGTTATTCTTGTTGCTGCTACCAGTTAAGTTTTTTCTTTTCTGCGAGTGAGCATGTGGGCAGACTGTTGTAGAGCCCTGGCATATACATGTATAACCTTCCACGATGAACAAACACTCCAGCTTTTCAAGTTACCCAGTTATGTTTGCAAAATATATAATGTTTCAATACCAATGTTTATATAGACCTTCTGTTTATACTTTCTACATACAGGTAGGTCTCATTGATCAATGAGGCGGTAGGGCTAATACACTACTGTGTTTGGGGAATGGTGTTGGAAGGAGCCCATCCCTCTCCTTTCTAACCTGGGTACCATCCTCCATAGATTCCCTGGGGGCATGTTGGCTCTGGAGCTGATGAGCTGGCCTGTGTAGGCCCTGGGAAGAGTCTGGCATCCAGGCTACCACAGGGGCTGAGCACAAGGACTCTAACTGAAAATCGTTTGTTACCATCATGGCAACTTATCACAAGTGCTCTTTCTTGCAATGCATTATCGGTGCTATGGTCATTTTTATTTAACGACAAAAAGCTTGAATACCACCTTTCCCCTATCATGAAATGAAATCAATTAACAGTTATGTGAGGTGGGTTTACTTTTCAGTGACTGCAAAATCATGATTATTAATTATATATGCTTTTCCAAATTACATTTCTACTGAAGTATAGAATTCTTTTAAACCAGGAACTCAACACTACAAAAATGTCCTTTCCCCTCCTCCTTCTGGTACTACAAAATTAAGAGCTAGTTTCAGGCTTGTGGGCATGAAAATTATGTTGCAAGACCAGTCATCACTACTTACTGTGCTTACCCATGCGCATCAACAAGAATAGTGAAAGCTTTGTTGGTAAATTCATGCTCCAGACAACAAGCTTGAAGATGCCTGAGGCATGGAAAGTGTCCAGATAATTTGTCACACTCACAAGACGAGTGTTCATCTCATCAAGGGTTTTTCATTTTTGGTGTCTTTTAACCCATTGGTTTCTACCAGTCCCACACACATATGGGTGATATTTGACCCAAATCCATGTTTTTAAATACAGACCTTCTACCCTGTTCTTGAGAGAACCACCCCAAGTTGTCCGCAATCAGATGGTTGTTGTCGCATCCGGAGCACTTGACAATCACCACCCCCTTGGTGTAGGCGACCTTGGAGATGACCTTCACAGACCTGGTCTGGCAAACTTTGCAGGTGTAGATGAGCTGCATCTTCTCAGGCTCCACCTGCCCAAGACTGGCGCTCTCTCCTTGCACGTCTTCCTTGAGGGCCCCTTGGTTGTTGGACACTTGGGTTGTTGGGGATGCACCATTGGTGATGTCAGGGTGTGGGGAGTGGTAGCAGGCACAACTTTGAATCTTGGTGACTGGAAACACTTCTCTCCTGTTTCTGGCGACTGCCATCTCCCCCCGACAGTTTCCACGTGTGTTCTGTCTCATGTAAGACAACAGCCCTCTCCTTGTCATGACGCTCTTGGCTCCGTAAGACCTGCCCAAGACACATCTCGAAAGGTATGGCAGTCTGGCAGAGGCCTCCACAGTCTTGACAAGGCCACTGATTACTGGAAACGACATCTTTAAGTCTCTAGAAAGTCAGTCTTGTACTGAAGTTGTAGCCGTAACTGCGGGAAGAGAAGCTGGAACCAGTTCCAACCAGTTGGCCAACAACGTGGTGTTTATTACGCCACGCGTGAACTGTTTTCCTCACTGTCCGACGAAGTTTTCACGCCAGAGGAATGGCAACAGCTCTATCAAATCCACGAGAATGTTCTGCGTTCACATGAGTATTCACTCAAGGGGTACGCCCAGGTAACTTACCTGAAGTTGTTCTCCGTAACCCTTGATCTGGCTGGGCTACTGTTCGTCTGCAGAAAAACAACATGTCACGCCATGCACCACAGCTACACGCACAAACCTCTCGCACTCACCCACTCATCCATGACGCTACAGACCATTCTGTTTTGAAAATAAATTTATTTTAACGTTTTCATTTTACAAAAGTCACTAAACTAGCAAATAAAAAACCAGAGTGCTTGATAATGACTCTTTTCATTGCGTTTGGATAGGGTTGTGCAATCAGCTGGACTAAAGTCAGACTGTACTAAGTAAGTGGTAAAGTCTCGTTACAAACATTTACTCATTTGTCAGTCAATCATCTACCAATCAAAATTAGTTATAGATATAATTTTACACATAATAAAATTCGTTTAATTTGATATCATGTACACTGCATAACTATTAATAGCAAATCGGATAGATGTTGTTAACTTATAAGGAAAACATGTTACCTCGATATAAATGGCACCGTCCAGAAGAAGATGGCGGCGCACAGTAGAATTTTTCTCCCTTTTCGATTTGCTATTTTTACAAGTCAAAATATTAGACTTCGGCCGAGACTTATTCTTCTAAAAGCAGAGCATTATAGCAGAATATCCCATCAGGAAGGAGTTGGAGGTAAAGTTTAGATCTAGTTCATATTGTCAGGTTTGATGTGCAGTTTTTGGCATCTCGAATTTTTACCTTCGCCAAGAAGGTTATGTTTTCAGAGGCGTTCGTGTATGTGTGTGTGTGTGTGTGTGTGTGTCTGTAAACACGATAACTTGAGAAGGCCTTGATGGATTGTCTTGATACTTGGTAGGTGGGTAGGTCTTGATGAGACCTCAAAATGATTAGATTTTGGACACCCTAGCGGCTTGTTATAGTACTGCAGCTGAACTTCCGGTTTTGATATCTCATGATCTAGACATGCTATGGTGATGAAATTTGGATGGTAGGTAGGTCTTGTGCTGGGGAAGAAGTGACGTGAGTTTGGGCCCCCTAGCGGCTTGCTCTGGAACTGCAGGGATATATTCTTGAAAATATTCAAAAGGGGATAACTCAAGAACCGGTTGACGGATCGTTATGATTTTTGGTATATAGGTAGCTTACATGATGCTTAATATAATTATGTCACAATTATGCAAATATAGATGTCATTTGCATAATTTATGGGGAAATTCTATAAATCAGCTGCATTCCAAGATAGGACAATTGAAGCTTGTGACATTGGTAATTGGCAACGAGAGAAACACAGGCAGATATTGATTATGTTAATAATGACTTAATTTGCATAATTATTGAGAAAATTTTATAATTATGTAATGATAACTGCCTGGAATTTCATACTTGTGGTATTTGAAAGTTAAGTTGAGGTGAACATCATTAAACATAATTTATTCAAATCAGGACCTCATTTGCATAATTTATTAGGAATAAGTAGAATGCATTGTTTGTTGATATAAGACTGTCTTTTGGTTTAGATATTATGATAAAATGATATAATTCATGAAAATTAGGTTCCTATTTCTTAAATCAGGGGGAATAATCTAATGTATAATTTGTCAGTCATAAAGATTAACATCATTTGGCGAAGGTATGAGATCTAGGAACTCTAGTTTACAGCTGCACCAAGGCCAAGGAAGTTCGACCGGTTCTACATATAACGTTATATATATAAACATCCTTGGTTGCACCCTTTCTCTTAAACCTCCATGGTTGCACATGTACACTTCATGATTATCTTAAACCAAGGAGGTTTCTATCAGATTAAGGTATTGACGGTAAAATTGGGAGGATGACATTTTACTTGTAAGATTTTTTCTACTTTAGCCTGTCAGTAAGATATTTTATTGCTATAATTTGACAGTCTAAGACTGGCACTTTCATTATTGACAGGGACAGCTTGTTAATAGCCACATTCATTGAATAATTTACAACCATAACACAATCAAATTGATTTAATCAAGTAGTGATCTTCATCACCAGCCTCACCACATGCAGAAGAATGGACACCTCCTCTGTACCAAGAACATGTTCCGACATCGTTGTTCCAGAAAGCTCTGTTGACTGTTGGGTCTGCGGCTGTTGCTATAACCGACCCCTACAGACATGGTATGGCAAATCTTCAAATATTTGTGGTGATTTTAGTTTCGTGGGGCTCCTCCATGAAGAAATCATGACAGTGAAAATATGCCTCAATATTATTTTGATTTCCTATTATCTACAACCAGAGTGTTTGTATAGTAAATTGGTATAGCCGGTATAACCACCCTTCAGCATAACACACCAGCTTCACAGGCATACGGCATGGTAGCAGCTAGCTATCCAACGACTTGTCAGTCTGATTTTGATAGCACATTTGGCATTCTCCAAAGAATTATTAATGTTGCCACCACATTTCCAACAAGGGAGTAACACAACAGCTCACTTCTTCTCAAATTAAAATGTAGACCATTTCATGGGAAGGTGACTCACATTTCCCAAATTTGGCCTCTTGCACAAAATTGTTCACTAACATTTCTAGTTTTTATATTTAAGGTATTCTATTTATAATCCTCGACATAAACCGTAAAGCAAGTCCTGGCCTGGTGACAATTCTGATTGACTATATAGTGATTGAGCTAGTATATGATACATGTATGTGCCCTGTACATGTTTCCTCAGATATGATTGCAGTGTTAGGAGAAACTACAGGCTACTACGCCCTCATGAGAATACGGGACCAGATGAAAGCAGATCCAGTTGGTCAGCTGATTTTAAGGTAGCTTTTTGTATCATTATGATTTATTTGTCATTACATTAGCCATTAGGGTTTCTAGATTTGATGTTGAAGTCCATAACCCATTAAATAATGTTACCAATGTTGAATGTTACAGTGAGAGGCCAAGAATCAACACAAGGACAGTAGATCTGGAAGAGCTGAGAAATCTTCCTGAAGGCACCTTTGGTAGGGAATATGTCAACTGGCTGGACAGAAATGTAAGAATGTGTATATTTGTGATGGTATCAAAATTGAAAATGATAAACATGGCAAAGGCATTAATTAATGTATTTGACATTGAAAGTAGATTTATTTTTGAATTGAGATTAATTAGTTACTGAGGATGACTTAAGGCCAGTGTAAGAAGTCTCACTGCTTGGATTGGCTTGTTCTCTGGTTATTTCACACACAATTAAGATTTCTTGACAACTTCTCAAGTTATTACATTTGTCATTTTGTGTACTGTTGGGAACCTTGAGAATATTTTCAAACTGAATCTGATAGTACATCAAAGTTCTTTACTCAGAACTTTGAATAGTCAATCATTCTCCAGCTTGATGAAATTACTTAGGGATGAATCCAATAGTATACTCCAGGCTCCGCTCCTGAGGTGTCGCCAAAAATCAGAGGGGCAAATGCAAGTCTTTTACTTGGAAGTTGTGTATTTCAGGATGTGACCCCGGACTCCCGTGCACCAGTCAAGTTTATAGACGATGAGGAGCTTGCTTACGTGATTCAGCGCTACAGAGAGATCCATGATCTCTTCCACACACTACTGGGCATGCCCACCAACATGTTAGGGGAGTGCACTGTCAAGATGTTTGAGGCTGTGCAGACTGGACTGCCCATGTGTGCAATGGGAGCTGTGTTCGGTCCTTTAAGACTGTCATCCAGGTAAGTGTTTTTACTAATGGATTCGTGTATTCCGTTTTCTAACATGTGTAATACTAGTAGCCTTGTGCTTAGCCAAAATAACAGTTACTCCAGCAACTAGATGTGATTTTGGAAAAGCCAAAATCATTTTCAAAAATCATGTCCAGTTGCTTGAGTAACTGTTTTTTGGTGTACCTTATAACCTGGATGCCTAACCTTCATCAACGAGCCTAGTGCTTGCTTTGCATTCAGGTGATTGAGGAGGTAATGAGTTCAAACCCTGGCAAAGCCAAAGACATTTTTTTATGGTAACTACTGTACTCCACACTAATGAAAAAGATTATGGTAGATGAACACACAACACTAAAGGTGGACTTGCCCTCTGATGAAGATATAGAAATGGAGAGTAGCTACATACATGTATGTTCTATTTGGAACCCTCAGAGAAATGGTCCAATACGTTTGTAATATTCCTATGTATTTTTATTTTGAAAACAATTTTGCTGTTTTCATCCCCAGACAAAGGTGGAAGCTGAGGAACTACTACATCCCCTGGGCAGTGAGGGCCGGCTACAGTGCCAAGTGTCTGATGAACGTCTACTATGAAAAGAGATTTCACGAACCACTAGAAGAACTGAAAGCTGACTTGAAAATCCCTCCCCCTCCACAGGTACCCAAAAGTACCAGCAGTAACTACAGTAGACTGTATAAAAGATGACATGACGGTTGAAAATGTTTTCAAATCTTAAGAATGAAATTATCCTATTGTGGCATTAAGACCTTACTACAACACCAGAACAGCTGTCACTTATATTCTATCCAGACTACTAGTAGTTAGAACCATTCCATGACTTTGCCTCCCCAAGTCTTCCTGGCGTACATGATGCAGTACATTTGTATGTATGTCAAAAGCTGTATTATAAGCAGTGTAGTGACTTCCTGTGACATTTATAAATTTTATATAACCACTGGACTATGCATGCTACATGGTCAGAACAGTACACCTGGATGTGTATGCTGTATGTACACATTTTATCCATTTGTTTGTAAAAAAAAAGTTGTTTGAGATCATATTTGAATGAAGTGTATAAATAGAGTATGTGTTATCCGTTATGTTTGTGTATACACAGTGTACATCCTAGTATGACAACTCAAGCATAAGATTCTCATTTTGTAAAGAACCATGTAACTAGAACTGCTATTATGAAAGATTAGAAATAGAACAAATAAACACAAAACACATACATGAAGCTTTTTTTCTCATGATCATTTATTCGAAAAACAGCCATTCGCAATATTGGATGTGAAACAGCCCCATCCTTTGGAAGTCAATTTATAAAACAGCTTCAGTGCCAATGCCTCAGCCGTAACACAAGAAGTTACAGTCCCAATCATTTGAATTATAACAAAACAAAGTTAAAAATCTACACCTTTACCCAATCAGAGAAATGCATCAGTGCTATAAGTACTCTTTACCCAAACATGCCTAGTCTTTTATTTTCACAGATACCAAATTGGAAAGTTCACTGATAATTTGTACTACAGTTTCCCCCCAAGAAGTGTGCATACTACTGTTACCTAAGTCTATATGCAGCTGTGCAGGTAATTTGCTAAGATATCTATACATTTAGATCCCTCCAGACTGAGTCCACAGACCTTCTAGCTGTTTTGTTTTCAATGCGGTGGCAGATGGATATGTAGAAAAGAGCGGCCTGAAGCTTCAATTTCAGTGATTAATCTTCAATACAAATCTTCAATGTGGACTTGAATGTAATCTTTTGTGTCCTAAATCACTCAAAAAATAAAGTTAGAACAGAAAATAACACTATTTTAACTACTTCTATAATGCTAGTTTTTGCACATTGTGTTTTTGTGAGCATGTAAAACAAATAGCCAAGTTTTCTTTCTCAAGCTCTTTCAGGTAGATGTTTGTAAGTCAACAATGTGCCAGATACATATATAATATTAATGTTTACAGTGAGGCTGATATCTTGTGAGAGAGTTCTTTAAAGTTACACTATGTTTATACGGTTTGCGGTTTGATGATGATGATACGGTTTGCATCACGGCAGTAAATGTTAATAGGTTTGTGTTAGACCCTTCTTAAGTATGGCTGCAATAGATATATATCAAAATACATTAAAATGAAATCTTATCCTATAAATTTTGCAGCTTGTCATGCTAGATGTAATAACTCATCATAATTGCAAATGTGTTCACCACTTCCAATCCTGAATACACTTTGCAGACATATGGATGAAAAAAATGTCCTTCACATTAGTGACATCACTAAAATATCCGCACTTTATTGTGCCTACTATTGGTGATGTCATTGGGTTGACACACAACATTTTGATACCTGTAAACTAAACTCTCTATACCAGTCAAAACCCACAATGCAATAAGTCATGACAAAAGAAAATTAAACTTTCTGACATTTTCTTTACATAGTTGAGACTTTTCTCTAGTGCTGAGAAGGGCAGCCATACTTTAGGAGGGTCTAACTCTGTCATCTGTAGAAGGGGGCCATGAGAGGTGGGCTCAGCTCAGAGGGACCGGAGGCTCTATCCTACTTCTTCTTGCCCTTCGGCTGCAGCGGCTGGCCCCTATCCTTCCCCCTCAGCTTCACTCCTGCAAAACACATTATATCCGTTATAATCTACGTGTACTATCAATCACTGCAAATTCAGTTAAAGTTGCAGCACTTTTTCAACATGGTGAAAGTTTTTAGTTATGACCCCTTTCAAATTTTCAATCAATACTGAAGCAACAAATACAATGCATGATAGAAGTCACCACAAACATAAAACCATTGCTGACATTTATTGGTTTATAGTAGTTTCCAATTGTATGACTTTATTTAGCCCTGGTATTATGAGAAAGCCTGTTACATTACTCATTACATGCCAACATCATTTTATTGCCAGAAGACATTGAACACATGCAAGCAATGATTAGGATGGGAAACCATGTTATATTGATATGATAACTGTTTCTAGTATGCCTCAGGGTTTTATATCTGTGGATAACAATTACAACCTTGGGCTTAGCACACTGTAAGAATCAGCAAGTCAAAGTGTACTGTAGTATATAAACTCACCCAAAGCCCTCTCTATCTTGCCTATCACCTGCTGGTTGGGGATAGCTTTTCCACTCTCGTACTCGTTCACAACCTGCGGCTTCTCGTTGATTTTCTGCGAGGGTAAAACTTCCGGTCAACTACTTCATACAAATTACACATTTCCTGCATTATTGTCTTCCTTAAAATGGACATTTGCCTATGAAGTAATGTAGATCAAATTTACAGTAGAGAAAATTGAATAACATATTCAAAAAGACAACATTATGTTTCCTGATTTGACTGTCAATGACATACATGTACCAGCTATGACAGGGCTATAGGATCAGTTTCTACAAAAGTAGTGCATTGTACAATACGTAATTGCCATTAGTAATATGGTAATGAGTTGTAATTCAGACTTACAGTGGCCAGATCCTTCTGGGTCATCTTCTTCTCCTGCCGAGCTTGTTGGATGAGACGAGACAGATCCAGTGATACTTTATCATCTGTATGGGTATGGAGCACATGAAGTGTCAACATGGTCCAAAGAAATACAGTGTCCCACAAAAAAAAACTAAAGAAAGAAAAAGCTCCATCCCCCTTTATTAATTCATAATCTGTGCTGTATCTTCACCCACCTCCAACACTGTTAGTGATATACCCCTGCATGCTCTAAGTTGAGATGTATCATGTCTAACAGTAGTCAATATCATCTGATTCATATTACTAAAAACAAAAAAGGAATAAAGGCAGTCCAATAGCCTTCTCTGGCTATAGGGGCAGTGAGTTGCTAATATCCTGTGTTTTGGGGCAAATTATTGGAGAGCGGAGCCCCTTCCTCTCCTTTCAAAGTGGTCTTTTACCTTCCCAACCAAAGTCAGGTACCCATTTTACACCTGGGTGAAGTGAGGAACGTCACATAAAGACACTGCCTTTCTGAAGGACATGACAACTTGTCAGGAATGCCAGGAATCAAACTCTTGATCCCTTGATCTTCTCTCCACTAGCCTAGCCTCTGGGCCATACTATCAGTATGCCATGATTCATCTACCCATCATAAAATCCATACTTACGGTGCAGTTCCTCTGTCTCTCTGTCCAGCTTGGCTGTGTCCTTAGCTGCACTGTGCTGTCTGTTCTGGGCAGCACTGACTGTTAACACAAGAACAGGTTGGTCATCAGAATACTGTCAAACCCTTTTTATACTGACTCAATATCAAGTGCTGTCTTGACCAACTTTCCTGTCAAATTGAAAAAAAAAGTTGTATGAAATTGGACAATAAAGGGCTACCCGGGCTCGAAATACAATATCTAGTACTGTAAGGAAGTCTCTTAAGTCTATATCAAAATTATCATTGCTCAAACATCAGTAACGCTACAAAAATTTGTTAATAATAATTGATTATAATATACTTACATTTCTTTGTAGTCTCTATGTCTTCCCCTCTGCGCATGGCAGCATTGACAGCCTGGATTTTGGTAACATCATAGTTAAAACTACATCCCAACACAATCTAATGTGTAATGTCCAACCCCAAAATAGCACTATCGGAATAAAGTATTGTATGTTGCTCGATAACTTTCAGATAAACATAAAGATGGTTCTAAAACACGCACACAGTGCGGCACACTTCATCAACTGTAGTAAAAGAAACACCTTAACTACTTTGAATGAACTTTTGTCCACATCACTTTATAAATATTTGAGGACGTCATGAATTGTAAACAAACCATGTAACAGTTATATGAACACACAAAAAGTATATAACACAGATCAGAGCACAATGCATATACGATAAACAAGTCATGTACTAATACAGTACTATACTTGTGGACATTTGTATTTTTGAGGAATAAATTTTTAACAATACTAACTTCGAATGGGAATTTCGACATTAATTTCTGTTAAATACTTGTTTCGAAGTGTTTTTTCATTGTTTTTATGAGCATATGCTGCATACATGATGCAATACCAGTAAGTTTTATAAGTTAAGTTATAAGTTATACCATCTTTTTCGACAAAACGAGGCATTTAAGCAAGCCATAACAACAATTGGTCTACAACAGCTTTGCTTTAATAGGTTAGTATTTAGGATGTAATTAAAACTTACCCAATCACAAAATGTTATGATTTTTACCAGGAAAATTCTAGAAATTTGCCAGTTGTCTGAGAGACATGTTCGAGTAGACAACTGTTCACGAACCTAGTAAGTAACTCTATATTTCACATTCTTACACTTAAGCACCGAAAAAATTGCTTAACAACCCAACATATGTGGTTTAACGTTGTTATTACAGAATCTGTCCTCTCTCAACCACTCATTCCATCCCTCCCTCCCCACAATTCCCGGATGGATGGATCGTTCAACTGACCTGCTGAGAGCGAGCTTGCTTCGCAGTTGGTGGCTTCTTCCTCAAATAAGTCACCGTATCCCAGTCAGACTCGGCCATCTTGCTAGTTGGAGCTTTATCTGGTGTCACGTAAACCTGGAAGGTGAAATTTTGCACGCCGTTTCAGCGTTTTGTTGACTAAAAGAGTTGTTTTCGAAGATCACTTCCCTCGAGCTGAGGTTCAATGGAAAATGATGTGGTGCAGTCGACTATACCATTCAGATGAAGGGGTAGTTGGTTTGTCTTACAACATTGTGAAGCTATATTCCAATGATAGTACTTTATAAATCTATACACCAGTAAATATCTATCATATTATATCCACTTTTAGGTATATTTCGTGATATAAAACTGCAATACTTTTAATCATAAGAATAGATACTTTTATGTTTTGTATATTAAACCCCTATTTTTTCTAGAACCTTCTGGTCTCGGAAAATCTCGCTATCTCTCGCTAGATGGCATGACGTAGCCATCATGGCAGACGATGGATTTTTTTTGGGCAAAGGTTAGGAATCCGCGCATGTGTATTGGGGCCAGTTTTAGTATATAGAGATTGGCAATACAAAACCAAATGTAAAAAGTCTTTTTTGTGGGAAATGTTGCCTTTTTGGAGCTGGATGTTACAGGTAAGGGTTCTTGAATTTTTATTTTGTTCAGAAAACAGACTTTCAGCCATGTTTGAGATGTCCAGCAAAGAAAAGAAGATATATGTTTACATGCATTGCTGTGCTGTCCATGGGAGGTCAGAGGTCACCCTACATTGTAAACAAGGATTTTAACGATGTTTAGGTGCGTAGGATTTTGAAATTTTGGGCTAAATGGACAGTTTAGATGATGTGCTACCCAGTCAATGTGTGATATGGATGGCCTAAAACTCAGGTAGGTGACTTTTGATGCCGCTTTTCTGTCATGATTTACATGTATTAGATGCCTATTTTCTATTTCTAGGCTGTGCCCTGCACAAATTTGGGTTCAGAGGAATGGCGCGAAATAGGTAAGTTTTCTCACAACTTCTTGAAACCTGACACCCTAAGACACTCACAGAGAATACAAGGACACATCTGGAATCATTTATACAGCATTTTATTCAGTTTCTAGTTGTTTTTCTGGCATACATGGCTTCTATACAACACTGGTGTGAGGAATACAGGAAGAAGATAGCCTCTAGAGTAGCTCCCCATCCTACAACATCGTGTCTGCTTTGGACGGGTGGAAAGTCGTCGCCTAAGTCAAACTACGGTGTCGTTAACGTCTCCTGGTTCCCCAACGCCCCCCAGTTCACCCCTCGGAAGTTTTACGTGCATAGGGCAGCATACATGATCAGCTCTGCAAATCTACAGCTTGGAGAACTAGACGTTTCCCATTTGTGCCACACCCCCTTTCGTGTAAATGTAGAACATTTGTCCCTGGAACCAAGGCTAGTAAACAACAACAGAAAAGTTTGCCTGTCTAGACGAGAGTGTAGAGGGCATGATGGCTATCGGCAGTGTATATTTTTCTAGATGACAAGTCAAGGTAAGTCACAGTTTTTCTTCATCCTTCTGAGTACTCACTGGAGGATTCCTCTTCTGCAGCACGGCTGTATGAATGTTCTATCATCCTTTTCTTTACTTTCTTCCTTAAGGCTTTACCCTTGCCTTTAGACTGCCCTGCAACTGCAACTGTCTTACTTTTGTAAGTGCCTTGCTCTTTACGAATGTCATAGTTAGCATATCTTTTCTTTACCTTAGCCTGCTGCCTTTTCTTGTTTGTTACTTCCATCTTGTATGACCGGTGGTATTCTTGTTTCTTCTCCATCCCCTCTAATGCAGGTACAACAGCAGAGTCTGGTGAGAAGGGGATATTGGCTGCGGCCCTTTTGAGCGCGATCGACCGTCCTGTTCCGTTGTTCGACGCGTGTACTGCAGAGGCTACCCTCCCTTCCAAGGTACTAGAGTACACTACATTCTTTGGGCAGGTCTTAGCCAGCTGTCTGTTCACACTTTCAACTCGATTTGTGGTTCTTGACTTCCGTGTCCGTTTCAGAGCTTTCTTTCCTAAACGAACCTCCATTATGCCTGCCAACACCTTGAGATCAGTATCGTTTGGGTGGATGTTTCCCTTCACCTTTTCAGGTAGGTCTGGAAATGTCCATTTCCTTGGGTGCCTGCAGATGAGTGATCCCTCGTAGCACCTCGAATGATCTCCTTCATAGCAGTAGGGCAGTGCCTGCATGAGTCGCTTCATTTTTTTCTCCATCTTCCGCTTGTTGTCCCCGATCTTCTTACGTGCAGCTTTGTGTTCGGCATTGAGACGTTTGCTGAGGTCATTCCCAAATCTGTCCCGGTTGCGGTTTCTCTCCTGTTGATCGTTCCCTGGAAACATTTGCTTGGACCATGTTGCCCTGGAAACCCTGCCTCTAATAGCTTTGCAAAGGTGCACTGTGTCCGAGAAGGCCCTTACTTTCTGTCCTGCCTCCTCCATCATGACTTCCTGAAGTCCAGCAGCAAAATCCCCATCTCCATCTGTTGTAGTTTCACTAACAAGTGTCTTTACAGGTCCAGAGAGGAGTTTCTTCCCCATGTCCCTCCCAGCTTGGCGTTCGTCCCCGATCACTGTGTCTTCTGAGATGTTGGCTGGGCATTTGTGGGGTGGGACTGGGTTACCGCATCCCTCATTGTAGTTGCGTGTTTGACAGATCTTGTTCCTGACATGAGTCCCGATAACTAGCTTCTTTGGCGTCACGTTTTCTGCGATGGTGCTGACACTATTAGAGCTAGGTTGACCTGGTTTCTTAGTCCTTGCAGAACGTAGAGGGCTCTGATACTTGGTGTCTCCTTCTACGGGAATGCCACTGTCAGGTGGGTTTCCTTTCTGCACATGGATGTCCGCCACTGTCTCTCGCCATGACTGCATGTCCGCTTCATTCTCTTGGACCATCAACTCACTGTACTTGTTTGCCCCTTCCTGTAGTCCAGATCGGGTTGGCACCGGCATGTCAAGGGCTGCTGCCATCTCTCTTACTACGGTAGGTCCTACTGGGCTGTTAAACATGGCGACCTGCACTGCCCGGTTGGGGACTGCTGTCTTGGCCCCGGGTCCCTCCATTGGTACTTCGGTGTAGAACTTTGTCCTGGGTGATTCATATCCGCAGTTGTCACATACCAGTGTCTCCTGAGTAGCCAGTCCCTTTTTCCTTTCTCCCTGTGCCGAGAGTCGAAGCATACACTTGCAGTCAGGCCGGAGCTCGTCGTGTTCTCTCTGTAGACTGTACAGGGCTTTGACAGTTGTCTTGGCATGCCAGAGCCGGTAGCCCTCAACTTCATCCCCGTCTGTTTTGTCCCCCAGAAGCCTTGAAATCTTACTACCTGGCAGCTGTGTGGTACGAAGCACCATCAGTGTTCCTGCCTCATTAAGGGTTTCAGTGTCGGTCGGTAGGATGTTGCCCTTCCTGTCTCGGTTGATGTACAGACCTTCCTGATCTTGAGTTGGCCTGCAGTATGAAGAGGTGACCTTTTCCCGCTCGACAACACAGCCCTTGTTCCATGGTGTGTGGCCAGGGATGAATGGCCTACCCCGCTTCTCCTTGTTCTTCTTCTTCCGTGGCATGATGGCGTCTTGATGTAGGCAGTCCTGTCGTCACAATCAAGTGTGCTGTACCTGACCGTCCCCATCCCTTATAAAGCCATCACTTTCCCGGAGGCAGGGAGGGGGTTGGGAGTGACCATGACACCATATGGATTTTGCTTGGCCTGAGAGCCACTTCTCACCTGTGTGTGTCTTGGGGGGGGGGGGCTTGTTTGGTTCTCATGAGAAGGCAGTTCAACTCCTGTTCCCATTGTTTTCCTTCAATTTTTTTTATTAGAAATAACACCAGCAAGTGTCAGGCCATGAATTCAGGGTCTAATAATGACATACCACCACAAATAGTCTAAATAACTTAAAAACCATGGCCAATTTCATCCTGTTAACCACTTTTGCAATAAACACCTCAAGAAATGCCCTAAAATGCTGTTTAGCAACTTTTATTCAGAAAAGTGAAGTCTCTGACACAGCATAATAGATTGCTCTATCAGAGTGACCAGTTTTTGACATTTCTTGCATCTTTTCTCACCATTTCTTGTCCTCAGACATGATTCTACTACATAGACTGCCCTGTCTGTCAATGCTATATCACTGCCTGAATACATGCCTCTGACACTTGCAAGGAAAGTTAGTGCTACATAGTCACCGTTCAATGAAACCCTTTCAAACTTGGACAAGTTGTGTAGAACTATTCTCTTTATTCTTTGATGGTGTTGTCACTTGTCAGTTTCGAACTTCGGACTGCTTGCACAAATTTGGGTTCAGAGGAATGGCGCGAAATAGGTAAGTTTTCTCACAACTTCTTGAAACCTGACACCCTAAGACACTCACAGAGAATACAAGGACACATCTGGAATCATTTATACAGCATTTTATTCAGTTTCTAGTTGTTTTTCTGGCATACATGGCTTCTATACAACACTGGTGTGAGGAATACAGGAAGAAGATAGCCTCTAGAGTAGCTCCCCATCCTACAACATCGTGTCTGCTTTGGACGGGTGGAAAGTCGTCGCCTAAGTCAAACTACGGTGTCGTTAACGTCTCCTGGTTCCCCAACGCCCCCCAGTTCACCCCTCGGAAGTTTTACGTGCATAGGGCAGCATACATGATCAGCTCTGCAAATCTACAGCTTGGAGAACTAGACGTTTCCCATTTGTGCCACACCCCCCTTTGTGTAAATGTAGAACATTTGTCCCTGGAACCAAGGCTAGTAAACAACAACAGAAAAGTTTGCCTGTCTAGACGAGAGTGTAGAGGGCATGATGGCTATCGGCAGTGTATATTTTTCTAGATGACAAGTCAAGGTAAGTCACAGTTTTTCTTCATCCTTCTGAGTACTCACTGGAGGATTCCTCTTCTGCAGCACGGCTGTATGAATGTTCTATCATCCTTTTCTTTACTTTCTTCCTTAAGGCTTTACCCTTGCCTTTAGACTGCCCTGCAACTGCAACTGTCTTACTTTTGTAAGTGCCTTGCTCTTTACGAATGTCATAGTTAGCATATCTTTTCTTTACCTTAGCCTGCTGCCTTTTCTTGTTTGTTACTTCCATCTTGTATGACCGGTGGTATTCTTGTTTCTTCTCCATCCCCTCTAATGCAGGTACAACAGCAGAGTCTGGTGAGAAGGGGATATTGGCTGCGGCCCTTTTGAGCGCGATCGACCGTCCTGTTCCGTTGTTCGACGCGTGTACTGCAGAGGCTACCCTCCCTTCCAAGGTACTAGAGTACACTACATTCTTTGGGCAGGTCTTAGCCAGCTGTCTGTTCACACTTTCAACTCGATTTGTGGTTCTTGACTTCCGTGTCCGTTTCAGAGCTTTCTTTCCTAAACGAACCTCCATTATGCCTGCCAACACCTTGAGATCAGTATCGTTTGGGTGGATGTTTCCCTTCACCTTTTCAGGTAGGTCTGGAAATGTCCATTTCCTTGGGTGCCTGCAGATGAGTGATCCCTCGTAGCACCTCGAATGATCTCCTTCATAGCAGTAGGGCAGTGCCTGCATGAGTCGCTTCATTTTTTTCTCCATCTTCCGCTTGTTGTCCCCGATCTTCTTACGTGCAGCTTTGTGTTCGGCATTGAGACGTTTGCTGAGGTCATTCCCAAATCTGTCCCGGTTGCGGTTTCTCTCCTGTTGATCGTTCCCTGGAAACATTTGCTTGGACCATGTTGCCCTGGAAACCCTGCCTCTAATAGCTTTGCAAAGGTGCACTGTGTCCGAGAAGGCCCTTACTTTCTGTCCTGCCTCCTCCATCATGACTTCCTGAAGTCCAGCAGCAAAATCCCCATCTCCATCTGTTGTAGTTTCACTAACAAGTGTCTTTACAGGTCCAGAGAGGAGTTTCTTCCCCATGTCCCTCCCAGCTTGGCGTTCGTCCCCGATCACTGTGTCTTCTGAGATGTTGGCTGGGCATTTGTGGGGTGGGACTGGGTTACCGCATCCCTCATTGTAGTTGCGTGTTTGACAGATCTTGTTCCTGACATGAGTCCCGATAACTAGCTTCTTTGGCGTCACGTTTTCTGCGATGGTGCTGACACTATTAGAGCTAGGTTGACCTGGTTTCTTAGTCCTTGCAGAACGTAGAGGGCTCTGATACTTGGTGTCTCCTTCTACGGGAATGCCACTGTCAGGTGGGTTTCCTTTCTGCACATGGATGTCCGCCACTGTCTCTCGCCATGGCTGCATGTCCGCTTCATTCTCTTGGACCATCAACTCACTGTACTTGTTTGCCCCTTCCTGTAGTCCAGATCGGGTTGGCACCGGCATGTCAAGGGCTGCTGCCATCTCTCTTACTACGGTAGGTCCTACTGGGCTGTTAAACATGGCGACCTGCACTGCCCGGTTGGGGACTGCTGTCTTGGCCCCGGGTCCCTCCATTGGTACTTCGGTGTAGAACTTTGTCCTGGGTGATTCATATCCGCAGTTGTCACATACCAGTGTCTCCTGAGTAGCCAGCCCTTTTTCCTTTCTCCCTGTGCCGAGAGTCGAAGCATACACTTGCAGTCAGGCCGGAGCTCGTCGTGTTCTCTCTGTAGACTGTACAGGGCTTTGACAGTTGTCTTGGCATGCCAGAGCCGGTAGCCCTCAACTTCATCCCCGTCTGTTTTGTCCCCCAGAAGCCTTGAAATCTTACTACCTGGCAGCTGTGTGGTACGAAGCACCATCAGTGTTCCTGCCTCATTAAGGGTTTCAGTGTCGGTCGGTAGGATGTTGCCCTTCCTGTCTCGGTTGATGTACAGACCTTCCTGATCTTGAGTTGGCCTGCAGTATGAAGAGGTGACCTTTTCCCGCTCGACAACACAGCCCTTGTTCCATGGTGTGTGGCCAGGGATGAATGGCCTACCCCGCTTCTCCTTGTTCTTCTTCTTCCGTGGCATGATGGCGTCTTGATNAGCAGAGTCTGGTGAGAAGGGGATATTGGCTGCGGCCCTTTTGAGCGCGATCGACCGTCCTGTTCCGTTGTTCGACGCGTGTACTGCAGAGGCTACCCTCCCTTCCAAGGTACTAGAGTACGACTACATTCTTTGGGCAGGTCTTAGCCAGCTGTCTGTTCACACTTTCAACTCGATTTGTGGTTCTTGACTTCCGTGTCCGTTTCAGAGCTTTCTTTCCTAAACGAACCTCCATTATGCCTGCCAACACCTTGAGATCAGTATCGTTTGGGTGGATGTTTCCCTTCACCTTTTCAGGTAGGTCTGGAAATGTCCATTTCCTTGGGTGCCTGCAGATGAGTGATCCCTCGTAGCACCTCGAATGATCTCCTTCATAGCAGTAGGGCAGTGCCTGCATGAGTCGCTTCATTTTTTTCTCCATCTTCCGCTTGTTGTCCCCGATCTTCTTACGTGCAGCTTTGTGTTCGGCATTGAGACGTTTGCTGAGGTCATTCCCAAATCTGTCCCGGTTGCGGTTTCTCTCCTGTTGATCGTTCCCTGGAAACATTTGCTTGGACCATGTTGCCCTGGAAACCCTGCCTCTAATAGCTTTGCAAAGGTGCACTGTGTCCGAGTAAGGCCCTTACTTTCTGTCCTGCCTCCTCCATCATGACTTCCTGAAGTCCAGCAGCAAAATCCCCATCTCCATCTGTTGTAGTTTCACTAACAAGTGTCTTTACAGGTCCAGAGAGGAGTTTCTTCCCCATGTCCCTCCCAGCTTGGCGTTCGTCCCCGATCACTGTGTCTTCTGAGATGTTGGCTGGGCATTTGTGGGGTGGGACTGGGTTACCGCATCCCTCATTGTAGTTGCGTGTTTGACAGATCTTGTTCCTGACATGAGTCCCGATAACTAGCTTCTTTGGCGTCACGTTTTCTGCGATGGTGCTGACACTATTAGAGCTAGGTTGACCTGGTTTCTTAGTCCTTGCAGAACGTAGAGGGCTCTGATACTTGGTGTCTCCTTCTACGGGAATG